AAAATAAGTAATTCTTGGTTGTTAACAGGGTTGGTTGGTGCGGGCTCACTTCACACTTTGTTCTCGTTTACCAAACATATATGTAGTTGACCTCAATGAGTCCCGCAAGGTGAGGGTGCCGGCACACCATGGGCAGGCGGTTCAATAAAGGCGGCACGTAAGTTTTCTTCGTTTACTTTGGGCAATAAAGTGGCCAATTCCGAGGCGTCTTGTTTCCTTCCTCTCCGCGGCGGCCTCGGTGCGGCGGCCGCCCTGTATAAAGTTTATTTACTCGACCGGGAGCGAGTCCGAGATCAGTTGTGTTTGTGAGGCACATAGTTTTTACTTAATCAGGTTCTCGGGCCAAAAGCCAAACCATAGCAGCGCATCAGGCCCAGCGCGCTGCTGGCTGTACTGTAGGGAACGAGGCGAGACTAATGCCCCCTTGCTGCGACTTGGTGGAAGGCGGATTCTTTAAATCCTGCACCGCCCACTTGTGGTTTGTATCCGATCGACTTTGGCGTCGGCGATAATGATGTATATTTCTGCTCGACACGGCCACACCTGTCGCAGAGTACGTCAGGTGCCTCTCCCATAGTTGCGTTTGAGCCCCCCTCTCCCTAGGCCGCAGCGCGCGTACTGCTCCAGCAGCAGCAATGTCGTTAGTAAATTTTTCACGGCCAGAGAGCAGCCTCTTTCTACGAATGCCTTTGGCCCCACTCGTGTAGCGAGCAGAGGCCACGTGGGGCGTTCTACCCCTGCCCCCCCCCCCTCTCCTTCAGGTCACCCGCGCGGGCTTAACCTGAGCGGAGAGGTCGAGGTCCTCTCCTTGCGCTGAAATGAGATCGTTAGATTCTCATACTGATGCCCCCTTCACCGTCTTATCAAGCGGCGCAGCCGGTGTCGCCTGGCGCTCGCGGGGCGTGTGCCGAGGCCGCCGGGGCCATCGAGGCCCCTGATAGCTCATCTAGCGATCGCGTCTCGCTGTCTTCTCTGCTTCTCTCGGGGGGATTCTGCCGGGATCCTCTCCGGGGATCCTTCCAGCACTCTCCACCTTGATCCCGTTCGCCCCGTCCAATTAATCCG